GACATCGCTGTGACTTGGAACCCCTTCGACCACGGCAACTGTGCTGCCACTCAAACTGTATATTCTGACGCGTGTCGGTTCTGTTCTGCGCGGGATGACGTCACAAGTCCATTGTGAACACAAACACACCCACGCATTCTCAAGCGGCCGCGACGGAACGTGACAGGTTTCTCACAATCAAGACGGCTCGACATGTTAGTTTATGAAACAAACGTTGACCCGATATTCTGTCTCGCTCTTGGACAAACACAGCCAGTTTTTTTTTTTACGCGACGCCACTTGGCCGGACCACCTTTCCGGCAGCAGAGTGCATCTTTTGTTTTTAACAGCCGTCCCAACTGACATCGTCTGATAGCAATGCTTAAGGATATGCCATGTCCTCCGCAGCTTTGCCAGGCAGGTATGCGTGTGTGTGTAGCTTTTGTCACGAAAGGAACACTTGTGTGCACGCGGTATCCTTCGATTTCCTTCCCCTGAAAAGGCGTATGTGGCTTAGACTTACATAAGACTATCGGTGCTTAAGAGTTCAGACTTCTTTTGACAAAGCATAGTGCCATGCATGAACATTGTTTCTTCATCCACTTGCTGTATACGAGGGCCGGCAATACGACGAGTGGTCATTGCGGTTTTCCATTAAACAGGGGACCATACTGCACGTTCCGAAACATGTCCGAATTCCCACGTTGCGTACATCGCTCATAGCCAAACATCACCGTATACCGTCATTCAAGCTACACTTCTCGGCGCCACTGTCACGAATGCAGAAAGCCATGTTAATAAATCCTGAGCCTCCAGCGATTCTTCAGTCTCAAAGCCACGCGTGGAGCTCCCGACTTCAGAGTTCTTGAAATACGAACCCTAGATGCATGTTGCGAACTTCGACGACTCATGACCTCAAGGGGCTCGAAAACAAATTCGCCCACGCAAGTCATTCCCATGCAGAAATACAAATACAGAGATAAGCCCCATTCAGAGCCAAAACGGTGGATAAGCATGCTTAGAGTTCATGCATGGATTTAGACCGGTTTGCGTACAACCATGCACTTGCCATAACTCACTTGCCTTCTCTATAGGAATCCAGTTAGATAACCTTAAGGACCAGCGGTTATCCTGTCTGCGCACTATACATGCCCGGCCCATGTCCATTTCCTCTTCTTGATTTCAACTATGATGTCCTTAACCCCCGTTTGTTCCCTAATCCACTCTGCTCTCGTCTCTTAAGGTTACACCTAACATTTTTCTTTCCATTGCTCGCTGCGTCGTCCTTAATTTAACCTGAACCCTCTTTGTAAGTCTGCAGCTTTTTGCTCGGTGGCTAAGTACCGGCAAGGTACAGCTGTTATATACCTCCTTTTTGAGGGATAGTGGAAATCTACCTGTCATAATTTGAGAGTGCTTGCCAAATGTGCTCCACCCCATTCTTATTCTTCTAGTCACTTCAATCTCGTGGTTAGGCTCCGCAATTATTACCTGCCCTATAAGTAGACATAGTCTTCTACAACTTGAAGTGCACTATTACCTATCTCGAAGCGCTGCTCTTTTCCGAGGTCGTTGTACATTACTTTCGTTTTCTGCAGATTCATTTTAAGACCGACTTTTCTGCTCTGCTTGTCTAACTCCGTAATCATGATTTGCAATTCGTCCCCTGAGTTACTCAGAAATGCAATGTCATCGGCGAAGCGCAGGTTACTGCATGGGGTACTCTCCATTAACTCTTATCCCTATCTGTTCCCATTCTAGGCTTCTGAAAACCTCCATTAAGCACGCGGTAAATAGAATTGGGGAGATTGTGTCCCCCTTGCCTTACACCCTTCTTGATTGGTATTCTGTTGCTTTCTTTATGAAGCACTATGGTAGCAGTTGATCCCCTGTGGAATGCTTCTAGGATGTTCATATATACTTCATCGACGCCCCGATTCCGCAGTGTCTGCATGGCGGCTGATATTTTTACTGAATCAAGCGCCTTCTCGTATAGTATATGAAGGCTGCGTATAGTGGTTGGTTATATCCTGAGCATTTATATATCATGGCATTTATATCAATCTTTTCCAGCATTCCCCTGACAAGACATCGTGCGTCGTCCCAGTTTTTTCGAGCACCATGATTCGGCCAACCGTTCCGTGGAAGTGACAAGACCGGAGATCTTCTTACTTGCCGCCTCAGTATCGCCGGCATCGGCCGCGAGGGCCACCAAGAAAACGAGACGTTCGCAGAACACGTGGACGCGCTAAAGCGTCTCCCTTCTATACGCACCTTCACTAAAAAGCTCCATCGCGGTGCCTCCATTGTCCCCGCAGGAGCATTTACCAATATTCGTGACCCTGGCAACAGAGAAGCACTGCGGGGCACAACAGCGTTTTCGTGCATGGTCTTTCGTCAAAAATGGACGCATTGACAACTGATATACAATCTGAGGATACACGCTTTTATATAAGTCGCCTGCATGCGAACCGTTTCTAAAGAAAATCCAACCAGAAAGCACTTGTCTTCGCTTGTTAAAACTGCATGGAGCAGTGGCCTTTCGCCTGAGGAGACAACAATCTGTGTTGCCGCACACGTTTTCCCGCTGGTTGTGCTTTTGCTGCTCCCGGTTCCATGGACAGCGCTCATGAGTCCCCCCAAAGGACAGGTGTCCCGTTAACAATGCGTAAACTGCTGACCGGCAACAATGAGGCGTGACAACCCCCAAAAAAAACTTTTTTTGGTGTTGGCGTGCCTTCAAGAAAGGTTGCCGACCGGGAAAGGATGATACTCGACCGTATTTACGTACTTTATTCCCGTAACTTGCTAACACTCAATGTTATATATCTAGCCTTGTCGTTCAGCAGTGCCACCTTGTGAGGGAGCACTGGTAAAACGTCAGTCACATGGACGTGCACTGCAGGCCCTTTCTTGACCAAAAAGCAGTGCATAGTCGAAGGTCTTCGTCCCTCCCGATATAGACCTCTTCAACGGCTGAACGGAGGAGCCCTATAGTGTGGCACCGTGGTATAAAGGGGAACGTCACTTCCTTGACAGTACCATCTATGCCGGGTCACGAATGTTTGCAGCAGCCCAGAGGTGAATCATGGCGGCGACCAGGAAGCCTTGGTTGAAAATGTGCATATAAAAGCAATCCTTTGTACATGAGGAAAAGCGTCTCTATTCCTGCAGTCTTTGTGTAAACAATACAATAGCAAAATCAGACAGGCCACTTGGGCGACAAGCTATATATGACGCCGCTTCAACCGTCTCCTTGTTTGCTGCTAATCTTATTCACATAACCAACTTGCCCTGTCGTTTTGAGTGCATGCAGGAGTCGTTTAATCTACTGCCCAAGAAAGACTTCATAATGGTGGAGATAGTGCTGGTGACGATGCTCCAAATAGAGTGTGTATCTTGCTGCAGACGCCTGTTGATGGAGTCAACGCACAAACAATGCGGTCTTTGTGGTATATAGTTTCTAAATTACCATGCATCAATTTACTGAGAAACTTGTTACGCGTCAAACAGATACTTAATATGAGATGTCAACGACACCTTGACACCAGTGAGAACATGACGCACACAGAACTGCAATAGCGTTGCTAAATAGAGAAATGCCTATGCTGTATTAGTGAGAGGTATAGTCCCTAGATGCTTTAAGCCATTTGGCGGGAACTTAGAGTGCCAAATCCGACGGGGTTTTGACCCCGAAGCCATAAGGCCAAAAACAAGGTACCCGAAAATCGGAAAAATATTAATGCGCCCGACAAGAATCGTACGCAGTTCGATAAAGGACCAAAAGGACGTCATAAATTCGGCAAGGCTGGCGAGCCTGGGCCGAAACCGGGGCGAACAGAGCGATCGAAAGGGATACCCCGGCAATGGGACGGGTTCGGCAGACCTCCCTCAGAAAGCGTCGTCCTGCGTCCAAACGGCTTGCTAACCAACAGCGACACGGGAAATCTACGTCGTCCTTCTGGTAGTTGACAACTGAAAACGTGCGTCAAGGCCCTCATTGTAACGTGTAACCCGGGGTGAGAACCCCTCACAGCCGCTTCACGAAGCTCGCCTTGCAATGCGGAACCACCCCAAAACTCGCCGAAACGAGAGCGTAAGATCAGAAATTATGCTAAAATTTCGCCATCGAGGCGTTACAGTGTCCCTGGGGAAACGAGTACCAGCCCTGGAAATGAAATCGCAGTCCCAACAAAGGTCCCCGGGCTCCCAAGACCCGGCGAGGGGCCTCTTCCAGCCGTTAGGCCTAACGCTCCGTAGCACCCCCACGTGAAGATGGAGCGCAGCTCACGAGGTACGACACCGAAATCAAGTTCGCTATTCGGAGATAGTACGACTAACCGCCTAGCTGAAAGTGTTATTGTGACTACTAATGTGTACACTAAGCGCCCAACAGCCGATAATAGTGCCAGCTGCCACGGTTATACAAGAAAACTGGCTTTTTTTGGAGGCACCCCCACCCCCACAAGCAGCGCCGCGAAGTAGAAGGCCCGAGGAACGCGTACTCGAGTTGATCACGACAAAAATAAACGCGTCACGACCACAAAGCATGTATTTCCAGTAAGCTTGCACATTGAGCAATTCTATCCAACAATTGGATCGACACTCCAAGCATCGGTGCCGACGTCAGGGCCGTTGGAGCGGGAAGCTCCGACACCGCGATCGCAAAGGCAGAGCTGGCGGGTGACAGCTCGACAGTATACATCCCAGAATCGGGCCGTACCAGCAAAACCACGACGTCGGCGAGATAACAGGCGTTTCCAGCGCGCTCCGCGAGCCTCAGAGCAACCGCCAACGACCAGCGACGAGCGGCGACGATGGCAGCCGCGCGAGCCCCGCGAAAAAACCGGGGAGCGCAGAGGAGCGCCGCACCTTTCCCGAGTCGCCATGTTGGCTCTCTCGGAGACGACCGGCCGCGCAGACGACGCTCCAGAAATCGCTCGTATCTCGAGAACACGGCGTCGCAGCGACATGCCACATGCAGCAGCGCAATCGGCAAAGTGTGCACATTCTGCACTCACCGTCGGATCCGATGAGGAACGGCCGGAAGCGCCTCAAACGTGGGGTCAAATATCCGACAGCTCCGCCAGGAGATGCAACCGACGCCGCTCCGGAGGAAACTGGTGTGCGAGGCTGCGGCCGAACAGTTCTCCCCGCCGCGCGAACGAGAAGCACCGCCAACGAGCGCCGATTGGCCCGCTGGCGTCACGTGATGCCCTGCCCGGATGGCTTTTGTTCGGAGCGCGTCAGCAAATGGGAGCGCGCGGGAGAACCCCCTGCGCCACTTCGGCGGACGCTAATGGCATTTGCGCTCGGCCGCGTTCCTGCTTGCCCCGTCGGGCTAGCCGCGCTGGGTTGCAGGCCCGGCTTTGCTGGCTGGCCTCCACTGCGTCTGCTGCTGCTGCCGCTTGCAGGCCTGCTTGTCTGCGTCCTCCATGGAGAGGTTGCGCGCCCCTTCGCCGCCGCTCGAGTGTGCCGGTTCTTTTTTATGTTTTGTGCTGCAGGCTGTTTTCGTATCGCTCGCTCCCCCGCGTCGCGCGCTCTGTTATTTATTTCGGTGGCTGCATGGGAGTTCGCTCGAAGGTTGTTACCCGACGGCTTGACGGAGCGCACGCAATTAGTGCGCCACCGGCTGCGCTCTTGCGTTGAAAAGACAATACACCTGAGCTCGTCGTCGGGATGCCGTCGCTCTTCTTTGTGAGCGTCATTGTTGCGACCGCGCTCGTGAAAGAGGCCTTTGTTCTGTTTTTCTTCTCCTTTCGCTTTCTTTCTTTTTCCTGTATGCTGTCCTTCCGAAGCAAGAGCCCGTTCTGTTGCCCCCCTACACACACACACGTGCATATATATATTTTCTCATCCGTCAGCGTTGGCGAGGAAGTCGCTTCTGCGTTCGCTCTGTATGTTCTCATGCAGTGCAGTTTTTTGTGTATTGTGTGTGGGGCATTCTTAGTCACACGACACTCCCTTTTATTTATTCCCTCAACCTATGCATCCACATTCGTATAACCTCACCACCCGTTGCTAGCAAACCATGGGTTGGGATCAGGTAACGGCCGGGAACTAAATGTCGTGACTCATATCTACACGGATTAATGTGTTATTTCGTACACTGCTGACAAAACTCTTGTTCGCCGTGATTCAAGAGAGATAGAATGCAGAGACGTCATCATAAGCCGTTCATAACATCTTGTGGGCTCGCCTACAAATCCCCGCACATCTTTTCCTCCGCGATAAAGAAGAGTTGCTGTAAATAGAAGCAACGTCACAATCGACTCTGATGCCGGTGTCGCACGATAAACCGCAGATCGCGACCGAGCAGGATTGAAGGAAGGAAAATAACTTTAGTTTGGTACTGTGGAACGCGACTGTGTCACGCACCTGGCTCAGTCCCATGTATAGTGTCACGATGAGTAACAAGTACTGGGGGATTTATTAAACCACAGGGTAGCTAGCACTAGGACGATGCGTCAGTCGTGGCTGGCTCTCGAGCAAAGAAGCACGCGATCTTCTTTTTTTCCTCCAGATTGAGAGCCGCTCTTGCTGTCAACACACTACGTGCTGGTGGCAATAGGGACCGGCAAGGCGAGCCTGCCGGCCACCTCAACAAATTGCTCATCGGTGATTGTCTTACATTTGCAGCTTGCGTAAGGAATACAATCGCGATCGTGAAATTCGATTTGGATAGCGAACGATCATGATCAACGAACGGTCATGATAAATGTAGCCGCGTTACACCTGTGTAAGGCTCATCGGATATATAAAGCGACAAAACGATGGCGTCTCTATTATCTGCAAGCGCGACGGAAATGGACACTCCATCAAAAGACGAAATGCAGCCGGCCACTCGACATTATATCAAATATGAGCACAGCGCGGAGAAAGGTTGTGCACGACAGAATGAAAACCGGGCAAACGCAGTGTTTGAGAACGTTTGGAAGTTCTCCCAGCAGGCGCTGCCTTCATCTGCATGGATGCCTCGGTGACAGGGTTGACCGTTTATGCAGTAGCCCGAAACACATGCAACCTGCAATATTTTTGCGAGTTGCCGAACACGCTCTACCAAACGGTGTGGGAACGTAACAACAATCTATATCCGGTCGCCTACAACGTATCAGTTGGAATACACAGCAGATAAGCCTATAATACCGAGGGTCAGCTATACAGCTTGTGAACATGCGCTATAGGCTATCGACTCAAACTCACGGCAACTTGAGCGGATGCAGGCGGCCGCCAACCTCCTGACCTGAGCAGCCTTGTCAATGAGGTAAAGTTCATGTGTCTATTTCTCTGGGGAGGGCAAGGCATGAGGCCGAATCAAAATGAATTGAAGTTGCTGGCGCACAGGTCACCGCCCTTTAATAAAGGAGATGCTCATTAGCATGGATCTATATATAGATCAGTCGCGTGAGCTTTTTAGCGTTCACGTGCTGGACGACAAAAAATTAGATGAAACCAGATAATAACACCAAAAATCTGTACAGGAGGATGAGGAGGAAGGATAGGGAGGGTGGTAACCATCTATGCAAGATTCACTGCACCCAAGGTCGCTGTGTAGGGGACGTTTTAGTGTGCATGCTCTGAGAATTGTGGGCATTCTATACCGTTGCTGATACGCGTGCCAAGAGGAACTACATGAATACCTTCCTTAAGTATATAGCTGACCCCTCCCCTCACCATTTTTTCTTCGAAGGCAAAAGCTCCTCCTGTAGATAAAATCTCCCCGGGACAGTGGGCCACCACGAAGCCTGCTCTCAAACTTCGGAAAGTTATTTGTTAGCGGCAAAAGAAAAGGCGGCGCAGCCTTCTGCAGCGCGCGTACAGAGAGAACATGTCTCGGCGAAGGTCGCACGGGAACGACAGAAAGCATCCGTGCGCGGCTAAACGACCGTTAATGCTGCATACGCCAGTCCAGCCAGTCGTAGCTCGTTTGTCACGGCAGTTTTGCCCGAGGTCCACCTCGGAACGTTGCCACAAGGGGAGGAAACGTAAACAAGCGTGTACCAAGAAGAGGTAAAAAACGGCGGCGGGTAATAGGCAGTAGTAACAATATGTCAGCACCGCCCCCGCTGGGGGGACAAAAGGCAATGTGTCCCTTCGCATTTCTAAGAGTTCTCGTTTCACGTGCACGTGCTCCTCAAAAAGGAGATAAAATATCTGACTTCATGTACGCGTTGCAGAGCGTCAGAGAATGGACTTTTGAAGGGGCGCCGCGCCCTCTCTCCGTGTAGAGAGAGATAGCAGGCGGCTACGGGAAGTTGTGCGCCCTTTCTCTCCATAGGAAGAATAGGCGCTGCGCCGTGCCCCCCAACCGGGATGCAGAAATTGGTCGCCACTACCAACATAAGAAGAAAACAAAGCGCTGTTGTGCTGCAACGGCTATATACGTGTGGTCAGGCTTTGAAAGGTATGTAAAGAGAAAACTTAATCTAACGAAACCTTATTTGACGAAGTTCCCGATCTAACGAAGAGATTTTGATTCAACATCAAGTACCAATAGAACTCGGTGTTATCAACCCGATTTTAGGAACTAAAGCATGTGCACTAAAAGTGATTTAGCGATGCTTTTCGAGAAATGTGTGAAACAGAGAAAAAAAAGTGGTGATTTCTTTCCAATCTTGTTCAAACAGATTTTTTCTTGAACCGCGCGCTCTAACGCTATCGCATTGAACGTCCGGAAATTGAACGCCCGGGAAACCACCCGCTGACAAGGCTGCGGCGCGCCCATGACATGGATCAATGGACTCTGCAGCCGGTGGCACTTTTACGCTGCCGAATGTAACGGTGGATGGTTTCGTGATGTCATAGCACTAATCATCTCTTTTCTCACTCAATTCGCTCGCACAATCCTTCAGTTGGTCGTCGTGTTCGAGCAGATCATTCACCCGTCACTGATTCACGTTTACCCGTCTTTCTGGCCTGCATCGGCCGGACATAGCGCCACCTAGAGGTCCAGTCGACATGGCAGGGTATACACATCAGGGCCGCCCTCGGGCCGACCTCGCGGACTTTCCAGATGCGGATGAGTATGAATTAGATTCAAGAACGATGGCCCAGTTCTATAGCTTTTCGTAGTCACAGCGTTACAATTTTAGATTTCGGAGAGCAGAAAAATTCCTTTATCAATTTTTATCAAGGCCTAACAATATGATTCAAGTGTCCTATGGAAACACTTCATAAAATCAGGTTTCACATGTATACACATGCGTACGTATGCATGTTTTGAGGATCTCTGCTCCATATATATACAACCAAATTTCTCGGCACCCACACATTAACGGTACGCTAGATATATAAAGAACCTCGGTTTACCGACGCACCAATGAGCGATGGCCGGTGTGGTTTTTCGGAATACGGGGAATACGGGGCCATGACTTTGCCATATAACTGCAAACGTTGCATGCTTTCACCGAAGAAGGAGACGACAAACAAAATATACGTGCCACATGTATATTAGTATGCCAAAACTTGGCCGTGACTGTTAAATATCGACCATTTAGCTCTTGCATAGCATATTTATGCCGGTGTCACACGATCATTTGCAATCGCGATCAAGCACGTACAATGTGCATAAAATTCCTTCTGCACTATTGGCTTCCGCAGTTAGTGCTAATAAGCCAATCGGGACCGACGAGTGTGATGCCGAACAGGCTTGATCGAGCGCGTGATCAAAAGTGCATGCAGCGCGTGACGCTCCCTCTGCAACTCTGACGAGAGCACGGCTCCGAGCCTCCCTGTCCTCCTCAACCGCCAATCGAGGACAGAGAAGGCTCGAAGAGCGTCCCAGTTCAGTGATGAGGTTTCTTAGTTTCTTACATAAGTTTCGGACTAAGCATCCGTGTGTGCTGTAGATTGACGTGAATTCAGTCCCATGACTATATATATGTACTTTGTGTAGAAATCATGGACGAGCTACAAGTGCACACATATACAGATAAGTGCACATGCCCGTACAGCCACACTCAGCATGAGTTGCAGCACTCTGGCTGGGGTTATTGTGACCCCAAGTTTGAACAATGACACCGACTTACGTTGAAGTGGTTCAAAAAGTACAGCTAATCCTCAGACTTCAATTCACTTTTTTTTTTGTAGGTGCGACTTTTTGCACTGTTGGCGCCATTTTGAGCACATAGAG